GTTTTTACCTTTCTTGAAATAATGAAACATAAGATACTGACAAATGTTACATATTTTCTTCCATCTTCAATATTAAAATGGCTACACAAAAATTCACTGATTTTGATGTTTTTTTTAAAAATGCACACTGCTATGACAACTGTCATAATATACTCTAACAAAATAATTTCAAATGTAGTTAAAGACAACTACTAGAGCCATCTTATAAAAAAATAAATAAAAAACAAATATTTTGGCCAACCCAACAGGTAAGTGACACATCAGACTAATTACATTCTAGTTATTAGAAGAAGCACTTTTAAAATGTATAGGATGAATTAGAGAAAAAAATCTGGAGGCAAAGAGACCAGTAAAGGCTAACACAGGTGAGACAAAGCCTTAATCAAAAGCCATAAAATTAAGGGAAAAGTGTTGAAATTGAGAGAATTTTAAGAACCAAGAATAACAACTTGAAAATTTTTTACAATGTGAGAAGAGGAGCACAGGAAAGAAAATTCTGTCTTCCCTGGCTCAGACAGCAACTGAATGGATGGTATTTTAATTAAATCAAGATAACAGACAAATTATGGAATAGAAGAAAGAAGGTATAAAATAAAATTCAAGTTTAGACACACTATGGTCAAATACTAGGGACCTGGGATAGAGATGAGCGGTCCTGATCTGGACAAAGGGAGAAAACACAACATGGGATCATTAACAAAAAGAGTAATAAATGCCACAGGACTAGATCACTCAGTGGAAATCTGTAACTAAAAGGATGGGACAGGGCAAAATCAGAACACTCAGAAACACTAACATCTAGGAGGGTTGTGAAAAGAGGAGAAAAACAAAGAGCCAGGGAAGGAAACAGAGTGGGAAAGCACAAAAGAGAACCGAGGAAGAATGGTATCACTGAAGTTAATGAAAGACAAAATTCTAAAATCAATGTAAATAAAAATACTGTCGAACGCTATGAAAAGACCAAGTTTAACCTGGACTTACCAATTATGGCACTATTGGTAATGTTTACCCTATTTTTTTTTTTTTACTAACATTAAGGGAGAAAATAAACTACAGTACTCTAAGGAGTGCATGATAAAGGAGATAAAGATGAGAAAGATGATAAAGGAGAAAGATTAGGATTTACTTTTATTTCACCCTGCTTTTCCAATTAATTACCACTCAAACACCTGAGATTGTGACAGGCATTTACTTAATGACTGATGGGAAGAAATTAAGAGTTGGTAAGAGTTAAACTGGCTAGGTTAAAAAATAAAAGGCCTTGAGAAAGGAAGATGCCTCAAAAGGAGAGTTTATAACCTCACTGAAATGTGTTGGGGGGAGTAAAGCCAAGCGTAAGCATTCTGCTGTATTCTTTCTATTCTGAAGATAGCAAGAAAACTCAACCCACCTCAGAAGAAAAAGGTAAAAAAAAGAAGGGCAAAAGAAACAGGTGAGAGAAGATCAACAGAAATTAAATAATATGAATTCAAACCCAAATTGGCTTAATAAATGGATTTCTGAGGTCTTAATGAGAAAGAACTCAGAGCATAACAGACTCATCCTGTGAAACTTATGTGAAAACTAAGAATATGTAAATTCTGAGGACATACTAAATGAAAAATAAATATTATTTAAAAGGTATTGATTGAAGTTTTATGTCCCTACAAGTGCTCATTATCCTTTTTCTATAAGACCTACTGGATCTTCTATTTCACAAATATTTGCTACACACTTCATAAATACAATTTTTTAAAGACTCAGGTTAAGTTTTCTTCCAATACTAATTTGCTAAGAATTTTAAATAGGGACATGTATTAATCCAAAAAGAGCCATTTTTACATTTTTTTTTAATTTTTTTTTAAATTTATTTTTTAAAATTGATTATGCTGTTACAGTTGTTCTATTCCCCCCTTCATTCCCCTCCACCCTGCCCCCCATCCCCACCATTACCCCCCTTTAGTTTATGTCCATGTGTCCCAAGTCCTTTAGGTTCTATATTTCCCATGCTATTCTTGCCCCCCCCCATCTATTTTCTATCTACTGTCTATGCTACTTATTTTCTGTACCTCCTCCCCCCATCTCCTCCTCCCACTCCCCTGTTGCTAACCCTCCTTGAGATCTTCATTTCTATGTTTCCACTCCTGATCTAGCTGTTCTTTTAGTTTGCTTTCGTTTTAGGTGTGGTTGTTAATAACTGTGAGCTTGTTGTTCTTTCACTGTTCATGTTTCTTTAACTTCTTTTTCTTAGATAAGTCCCTTTAACATTTCATATAATAAGGGCTTGGTGATGATGAACTCCTTGAATTTGATCTTATCTGAGAAGCATCTTATCTGTCCTTCCATTCTAAATGAAAGTTTTGCTGGATAGAGCAATCTTGGTTGTAGGTCTTTAGATTTCATGACTTGGAATATTTCTTTCCAGCCCCTTCTTGCCTGTAAGGTCTCTTTTGAGAAATCTGCTGACAGTCTGATGGGGACTCCTTTGTAGGTGATTGTCCCCTTAGCTCTTGCTGCTTCTAGGATTCTCTCCTTCATTTTAATTTTGGCTAATGTAATTATGATATGCCTTGGTGTGTTTCTTCTTGAGTCCAACTTTTTTGGTACTCTCTGAGCTTCTTGGATTTCTTGGAAGTCTATTTCCTTTGCCAGATTGGGGAAATTTTCTTTTATTATTTGTTCAAATAATTTTTCCACTGGTGGTTGTGTCTTTCCCCCTTCTGGTACCCCTATAATTCGGATATTGGAGCGTTTAAAGATGTCCTGGAGGTTCCTAAGACTCTCCTCATTTCTTTGAATTCTTGCTCCTTGACTCTTTTCTGTTTGGCCATTATTTGCTTTCTTCTGGGCCACTTCATTGAATTGAGTCCCAGTTTCCTTTTCATCTCTATGGGTTTTCTGTGGAATTCCATTCATTTCCTTTAGTTTAGCCTTCATATGTTTCTCTAATTTGTGGCTATAATCAACCAGATCTGTTAGGAACCTGATGACCAGTGTTTTAAACTGTGCGTCTGAGAGTTTTGCTATTTCTTCGTCGCTTAGATTTATCTCTGGGGCTCTGAGGTCTTTCTGCGACATTTTTGGTCTGTTCTGGCCCTTTAAGCGGGAGAAGCGGCGCCTTGGACTCCCAGGTCGCTGGGTTGTGACGCTGTATGTGGGGGCGTGGTCAGAGCGGGGATATGGCGGCGCCCTCTACTGCCGCAAGCCACGGGGACCGCCGGCCCGGTCCAAGCGCCCACTCCCTCGCCTGTCCGCTCGCCCACAGATAGGCAACCGCAGTCAACACGCAGCCCTGCCTCCCCACTGTCTCCTCAGCAGTCGCTCACCCGGTGGGTTGCTAGGTCCAATCCTGGGTCCAATCCTGGGTTTGGAACCCGTGCGTCTGGATTCGCGCGTCTGGATTCCGCGCCTGGGTCCATCCGACCGGAGTCCTGTGCAACCCCTCACGAGACGCCGGTTTCGCCCCTTACCGGTCGGGCTGAAGAATTTGTTGTTACCGGACTTCCAAAAAGTTCAATTTTCCGTGTTCTGGTTGTGTTTTCTGATGCTCTTATTTAGTTGTCCCTAAACTTGGTTGTGTGAGAAGGTACGGCGCATCCATCTATACCTCCATCTTGGCGGAAGTCCCTCCCATTTTTACATTTTATCTGCCCTTCTAAATGATAAGCACTTTGAAGGAATGCATTATTTTTTAGTCCTTTTTTAACTCCAATCTATCAGACCTAGAGTGACAGTAAGTACTGGAAATCTGATTAATGAAAACCTATAAAAACTACTTGGTCCCCAAACCCGAAGTAACTGTTTTCCATACACACACACATACATACACACATCCCACAGTATCCAAAGATGTAAATACCATCAAAAGTTCATAAGGAAACACAAGTTATCATTCTAATAGTAAACAGTGGGTTACTGACCAAGAATTTATAAGCTATGTAAAGTTTATGTGGAAATTAATAAACTCAATGCTTTAGGAATAATTTAATTTCTTCAAATAGGTGTATGTAAAAAAATACAGACTATAGTAATAACGATATTCTTCATGTTAATATAGAAATTGGCTAAATAAAAGTACTACATTGATTCTTAAGTTCATTAAATGACCTCATGAGAAACACTGTATTCTGTACTTTGAGACTGTGTGTGAATAGAGAGCAGGCATCCTAGGACCAGCTGAAGAGCGTGCCATTAATTTAGCAAACAGTTCTACTGAAAACAGATCCAGAACAGCGGGTAAAGTCCCATTTCAGCACACTCTCTTACTTGAGATGCATTCTAAATGGCCCTGGGGAAATACTGCTCTTAAGACAATGGAAGCAATGCATGTGTGAGACACCAACAGCATCTATTCATACATAATACACAGAGAAATTCCCCATGTCAACTATACAGAATTACATTAACACTAAAAAGAACTACAATAACTTCAATCTAGTATTCAATTTAATTGTGTAACATCTTATCTGAAAGCTCAATCTTATGGATTCCATAATTCTAAAAAAAATTTAAATCAACTAGTTTAAGAACTGGATCTTTACAAGAATATGGCATTAACACATCAAAGAAACCAGAAAAAAATTACTTATCAGAAGAAGGTGAAGAACACAAAATACTGCTAAGTTTTGATAATATAATTCTACTGGTTCATCCAATATACTTTTCTCATATTAACATTAAGATGTAATGATTAATGTATTGTGGAAAACCTCATTTCCCATAAATCTGTCCTTGATTGTGCTTTTCATAACATAAAGATGGAATCCATTCATTAAATAAATAATTACTGAGCATCTACCATGTGGCCAGGCACTGTTGTTCTAGGGGTTAAAAATTGTAGTTGTGAGTGAAACAAAATCTTTGTCCTAAAAAATACTGTAATAGAAGAACTGTAAACAATCGTATTTTGTGATTATTTTGAACAAAAATTCACAAAATTCAAAATAAGAAACTGTTTACAAAAATTTAAAAGGTTTTTGAAATTGTATAAAAGTTCTTCTGTTGTTTACACTTAAACTTACCAATGCAAACTGATTGACCTGAATGAAGAGTATTTCTACCTCCTTTTCAGTAACTTCAGTCCCAAAGCCTTTATATTCTTTGTAGGCTTCAAGGTAAGAACGCAGCCACTGGCTCTGTAGTTCTCTACCTGGATAGAGACTGTAGTCTACGTCACTCACACCTAAAGTGAAAAGAGTGCAATGATGGCTTTAAAAACACATTCTCTTATGAATACTTTAATAATTCTTACCACCTACATAATTTTCCAGAAAAAAATAAAACATTTGGCTGAAATACTAGATTTAATTAGCATTTATTAAAATAAGCCAGTCAATAATAATGTGTCACAACTTAAATCTGAATGCACAATATAGTTGATTACCATAATCAATTCTCATTGCTTCAATTTTTTCTCAAAGTGTGAAGCTAAAACTACTTGCATCAGAAGCATCAAATCTTCATTTTAATAAACAGCCCAGAAGATTCTTGTGCACAATAGTATTTACAGCATTTCTTAAAACTATGGCTCTAAAATGTTCCTGACCATTACTTATAGGGTAAGAAATACATTTTATAATGAAACCTTACACGCACATCTGATATTAAGTTTCACAAACCATTATTTACCCTAACTATACATTCCAACTCTGATATTTTCTAGTTCTTTTCTGGCCATTGCTTTAAAATAATTACCCCACAAATTTGATTTCATCATCTGCAGTTCACAAAAGTTAACCTAGAAGATAAAGTGCATACTATTTTGCCTAGCATTCAGGGTTCTTAAGTTGGTCAAACTTCACTTCTCTTGTCTTATAACCTTCTATTCTCCTTCATGAATTTAATATCCTACAAAAATAAGTATACTCACCTTCAAATTTTCTTCCTCCTTCTTGCAGTACCCTCCTTTCTCTTTTATTGCACATGCAAATGCTACCTTACTCTCAAGTGTTAGCTTAATATTTTCTACATAAAATCATATTAAGATCAGTGGAGTTTCCTCTCATATACACAGCAGTGACTACCTTTAATACTAACATGGTGACATTTCATTATATAAACTGCTGCTTTCCCTTCCCAAAGAGATATGGAAATATGTATAGCACATATGTAGAGACATAGCACATATACATAAACTTAGTGTATGGAAATTACTGAATACATGTAAACTGAAACTTTCCACTTTTTTCCCAGCCTGGTAACCTAAAGTATAAGAAAATACATGAATGCATGCATGTATACAAATACAAATACAAATTTGGCAATGTAAAATTCCTACTAGGTGTAAACCATCCAGGGGCACTTCCTATTCTTTAGTTTTAAAGCATTCATGTTTCTGTATACAGTTATAAAATATATGTTAAATTAATTCCACTTACATTTAAAAAACTAAAATTTTCTACCTTTTGGTAGTAATATATTAATTTTCAAGGGCAAAAATGACCAGCTTTTCAATTATTCATAGCCAAAGACAAAAAAGAAAAATTTTGCAAGCTTTTTAGCTAACCAACATTCCAAAAGTCCAAGATTACAATGGAAATAGCAAAGGCTTATAAATGATAAAAAAAAAAAAAACTGGTTTCAAATCAGAGTTCTCTATGTTATTGTGACTTTGGTAAGTTACTTCCCTCATCTGTATACTGAGAATATTACCTAATAAAATTGTTGTGGAGAAAAATAAGGTGAGATGAGATTTGTAAAGCACCTTGCATTGTATTAAGTCTTAATAGAAGCCACAACAATTACTTATTTTCCTTAAGAAATTAAATTAAGGAGTAAGTCCCCTCTGTCCTCTAAGTAATAAAAAACAGAACAAAGGTCAGGAAGAAATTATAAAAATTTTGCTCCTATTTTCAGTTTATTTATTTTAAAGAAAAAGAAAGGAATTCTAAAAGTATCTTATCAAAGTTAGATATGATATGCCATTATTTAAGCCCTGAATTTTACCTGCAAATTCATTGAAATGATTTCCAATATCATATGCCAGGTAGTTGTATCCAGAGTATTCATAATCAATGAACTGTACATTACCTATGTGAGACACAAAAACAAAGACATAAGAAATCATATATAAGATCAGAAAATCCCTAAGCTGTTTGTAATTAAATAGCTTCCAATATTGTTATTCATAATCAATGAACTGTACATCACCTATGTGAGACACAAAAACAAAGACATAAGAAATCATATATAAGATCAGAAAATCCCTAATCTAGCTGTAATTAAACAGCTTGCAATATTTTGTCTCATTGTACTAGCTTGGTTATATGCACTTCTGAGACAATACAGGGTAAGGCTGTGAATTTTATGGCAATGAGCTTTACAAAATTCAAATTATGTATCTTAGTCAACAGCTTCTTCATGAACATTAATGTCCACTATAATCAAAAAAGGTCAAAATATTGTATAGTCATTCTCCAATTTCAAACATAAGCAAAATGTCTCTCACCACATGGGGGCATCAGTTACTTAAAAAAAATTAAAGTTTAATTAGAAAAGAATACTATCTTTGGAAATTGTTAATAATTAAGCAATTTTAACAAAAAATTAATCTATGATACTTCAACAGTGAATTAACAAGCTAATCTACATATATGAATCAAATATAAGCTCTGAAAGATCTGAATTCTGTGAATCATGAGTGCATTATAACACTTGCTGATCAACTCAGTATCCCTAATTAAAGAATGTAGTTGCAATCAACCTCTTACATTTCTCTGGAATGCCACATAACTAAGGTTTCCAACAGCATGCTTGACCAGTGAAAGTGGTTGCTTTATTGTTCTTTTTTTTAAAGCAAGGGTACATACACTGAGTGCTAAAGAAGATTTTTGGCTCAACAAACAAGAGAGACAAGAGAAAAAGTTGAGCATCAAAACTGGTCACTGTCTATACCAGGAATCAAAAACACAAAGGCTTACGAGGGCCAACAGTTGAAATGAATACATAAACAGAGATGCTGTAAAAATAGTTTCTAAGCTCTAATTGTGAAAATGAATAGCATATGCCTAGTTAGTTAGTTACACTGTCTTTTGAAGACAAATCATACTAAGGCAAAAAAAACTATGGTCTTATACACAGTCAATTCAGAAAAAAAATCTTTTGAACTATAATGTCTTGTTAGATATACATGTTTAATTTAGGGATGCATGTTAATCTTATTTAATCTCAGAAAAACAGAATTTATGAAAAATGTCATGGAAAATGAAGTATTTTGCATAAAAGTAACATTTTAATGTAACTGCAACTAACACATAATTCTAAACTTACATAATAGTCAGGTCTAGAATAAAATAACTGAGAATCATGAAAGTATGAAATCCCAGTTATTAAAATCTATATGCATAGTGACAAAATAAAGATAAGATTTTAAAATGCTGGTAACTACAATAAATTACTGGTGGCAATTCAACCATCACAAGTATCATAGTGTTAAATTCACACACCAAAAAAATCCCATGGAAAGTCTTATAAAGTTAACCAAATCACTTCACTAAATCGCAGAGCGGGAAGTCAGAATGTGTTTTTACTTTTCTTTCTAGATACCTCTGAGAATAAGAGAGTGAAGGCCACCATCATGAGAAAACACTTTGCAGCTATGAAAGAAATTTCATTGTCAAAGATGATTTAATTACCAGGAGAATTACAAATGTTATGTGAAAGATACCAAATAGTAAATGTAGTAATCCAAATTGTTAAAATATGCTTAAAGAGAGAGGAAAAACAAATAATACGTAAGGGGAAAAAAGATAATGGCTTTTGGTTTCATTACCAGTGAAAGACAAGTGATCCTTTTCCCCTTATATTTTAAACTCTTTACAATTAACAATACTTTAAAGAGGGGAAAAAATGATAGTTTAAAAAGATTAAGATGAATTCTCTAAACAAAACTGTAAATAGACAAAAGACTTAAAAACAATTATTTGGGAGATACCTATCCCCTACTTGGTCACCAAGAAATCAGGATTCAAGACTTACCAAGTTGCACAACTGAACTAACCAAACGGTTTTAATGCAAAGATGTTTTAATGGCAGCTGTTGATTGTTTTAAACCTTAAACATAAATTCTTGTAGAGCTCATATTAACTGTTAACATGCCAATAAAAATACACAGCCCAGTCCTGAAGATTACTTTTGCCAAATTTCAATTTCAACTTTCAAAATTATATTCATAATTTGGCAAATATAGTTAAATAGCAGGTAAAACATGCCTGCCTGTAGACACAATTCAACTAAATCATAGTTCATTCATTTTAACAAAAGTTAAAATCCATTTCGTATGAATGTTCTAGCAATGACTTTTTGTAGTAGCATTAATTCATTAAAATTAGCCTTTTTAATATGCTATGTCGAGTTTATAAATAATGAAATTTTAAAAATAAGAAAATGAAGCTAAGAAGATACAGATGAGGCTGTTACCAGGCTCCGTGCATGTGAACAACTGATGCGACAAACCTCCAGTCAGTGCGTTTAAGAAGCACGGGGTGCGCCGCCACATGGCAGCAACAATGGCATACCTAATCTGTAGCAGATGAAGAAAATTTGGCAAACTCACATTTTACAAGACACAAAGCTTAAAAGGAAAAACTTTTTAAAAACTGCATTAACTATTCTTTTTCAAACTTTTGCAAACAAAGTGGAACTCAACCTTAAATTTAATATTCTGCAACAAAGTAAAATTAAAGATGCCTACTTCCCTTATTTTGGGTGCCAGAAAAATCAAATTACTACAAATTGCTTTCTAGTAACAGAAAGTACTACATTATTTTTCTTCTGCAAATTTAACTTGTGACTTCTAGAATTTCCAGCTATTTGGAGGAACATCCACGTCACTATTAATAATTAATAGTTTGTATGGCATGATTATCTTGTTCATTTTTTTAAGACAAGAATTTTTAATTAGGATTTCAAAGATGGAAAAAATTAAAACTCCTTAAAATTTTATATGCATATGCATTTTCTGAGGGAATTCTCAATTTTCCAAATTCTCAAGAGACCCCTGATCTCCAAAAAATAAGGTAGTGCTTTAAAGGCTAAGGCTATGTACTATTTATCTTTATATAATTAGTACACTGACTAGCACATAATAGGTAAAGCATAAGATTACTGAATTAATATACTCTGAATTTTCTAAAGCCACATTTTCCTTTTACTACTGTATTTCTCGCATACTTCCATAGTAATAAAATCCACTAAGTAATAAAATAACACTAAGTTAAATTGTTCAAGTCTCAGTAGAACTGAAAATAAGTCAGCCCATTTTTAAACTACTTTAAAACTAAAAAAAAATTATATTAACTAAGACTATGATTCATATGATATTCATTTGAATTCCTTTATTTTGCTGTTGTTAAGGAGAAAGGAATAAAGATAAAAAGTACAATAACCAATATAATACCCTGAGTCTTTCCAACTTACTTTACTTTGTAGCTTTAGGTAAAGCAGAAAGAGAATATAAAGTATTACCATGACCACACTAATGTTAGCAAAATACTTTCCCTCTTACACAGGAAAAAAGGAATATTCTGCTCTGGGAAACTATCCCTTCATCCCTCACTCTGCTGTCCAGTAGTAGCCTTCTGCACAGCACTCATCCTTCTGAATGTAAGTATCTTCGATTATTTCATAATCGAACTCCTCCACTACATGGCATATGGCTTTCTGGAAGGGAAGTAGGTCCCTTTCATCTTTCATTATGCAATCCACAGAGCAATACCTAACACACAAGAAGTATTAAAATGCTAGTGGAATAAATGAAGGTTTTTCAGAGAATGCTGAGACATAATGGTAACACATGTTTAAATGGGGTGTGGGAGGAATAACCATGAAAAATGACAAAGAACAAAGTGGCATTTTTGACACTCATATCCAAGTATACGAACATACAGTGGGACTGAATATATGCACAAGAAAACCCCATTAAACTAGTAACTATTTTAGGTAACTCTTTTTACAGTCCTTTTATTACCTGATTTAGGGATATTTTATTTTACGCCAACTATGATCTGAAATACAAGTTAAAACAAGGTTTAACTATCCTTCATAAAAATTCCACCCTGGAAAATACAGATTACTAAATACAAAAATAAATTCATATTTAATTTTAAAATAAAAACAACCAACCAAGGAACAAAAAACAACAAAAAAAAACCCCTCTTGTAAGTTATTAAAATGTCAGTAAAACAATAATGCCTTTTCATGAATAACAGAGTGGGTAAGATTTAGATCCAATCAAGTGACAGCAAATGGCCACTGGCCCATTTTCCATTTATACTGTGCAAAATTCTAAAGAAAAACCTAGTTTATGCTATAATTCCCAGAAAAATCTTTTTCTCCTAGTCATTTATATTTCCTTAAATAGCTGTAATTCAGCTGCTTGTATTGTGCAGACATAGAAAATAATCAATGGTTGCCATTACTGAAACTTAGTTATATATTAATCTTTATAGGAAGGAATGGGGAGAGGGATAAAAATGAAAAAAACCTCCAATAAACAATGGCAGAGCATCCAAAATCAAATATTAGATTTGAAGTCAGGCAATGAAAGCATTACAATTTGTTCTACTTCGTATAAATCCTTTTAAAGTTAATTATTAATTTAAAAGATAACTGGTGAGTCTTACAGTTAAGAAACAAGAATCGCTGCTTTTGGTTTTCTTATTATGTAACAAATCCTATCACCATATCACTGAGTATTCTTTTCTTACCTTTTTAAGATGTCATGTCTCTGAAGTCAAAAAATAGGCTGCTGTTTTAAAAACACCTAAATTTTGGGGCTAACTTTTCAAAAGTCTTGACAACTACCATCAACTACAGAAAGGAAGCTCTCTCTTCTCCCATACTCCTGGGTCCTGTCAACTGACACGGTAAGAAGAGGCATGGTAAGAAGTATTTCTTCCTGTGATGCCTACCTTTCCTTTAACACTCACTGGTGAAGACGCCTATAAACTTCAGGGTTCTCAGTCTTCGTGTGTATGTCTATATGAATATGTACTCATAGCCCTGGCTGGTGTGGCTCAATGGAACAGGCATGGCCTGTGAACCACAAGGTTGCCAGTTCAATTCCCAGTCAGGGCACATGCCTGGGCTGTGGGCCAGGTTCCTGGTTGGGGGTGTGTGAGAGGCAACTGTTTCTCACACAATGATGTTTCTTTCCCTGTCTCCTTCCCTTCCCCTTTCTAAAAATAAATAAATAAAACCTCATTTTTTAATGAATATGTACTTATATACAGACACACATACATATATGCATTTTTAAAAATTTTAATATATATGCATTTTTAAACTTTAAATTAGTCACCCAAAGCACAGTTAAGACAGACTATAAGTTGTACTTAGAAGCAAACTGAATTAGCATTTCACACCTATGACTCATGATTCCTAGGTACAGGACAGAGTTAACCTTTTGTCTTACAATAACCATTTTCACTTTTTCAGAATCAGACAAATTTTGTAAAATGTATCCCAGAGACAAAATACAGGGGTTGGATCTATGTATGCTGAGGCCAAATCAAACCAGCCCACTGCCTGCCGGCTCTTTAAATAAAGATTTTTGGAACACAGCCACACATATTTATATATTATCTAGGGCTGCTTGGGCTACAAAACAAAGTTACACAGTTGCTGCAACAGACTATAATATGGAATGCAAGGACTAAAATATGTACTATCTAGCATCTTATAAAAAAGTTTGCCAACACCAATTACAGTATAAACAGCTGTAAAACTGAGAGCTGCCAAGTACCTCAGCGTTATATACTGTATAAGCATGATAAAGTCTTGTCAGGAACCATCCATCGGAAGTAGATTTTATCTAAAAAGAATATAAAGCAAAATGAAGTTCTAAACTATCAATAATATAAGTACTGCAGGGAACTCTGTTAAACATGCAGATTCTTAAGCCCATCCATAGAAATTCTTGTTCATTGGTCTTAAATTTTTGTCCAGTTAACCAGGTGATTCTGGCACAGAATCAAATATAAACAATTAAAAAATAAAATGACTTTTCTAATAGCACTTACTTCCATATGCGATTGAGCAGAAATTTAAACCCAAGTGTGCTTAGTTCCAAAAATATGTCCTTTTTGACTTCTCTTGGTTATAACTAAGCTTAAATATATCTGCTTTTAAGAGTTAATACAAAGATTTTTTAAATTTAGTTACAAACAAAATCTTATTATGGTTGAAAAATACATGCAAGGATGTCAAAATGATACAGGATAAATTCATGAAGTTTAACTAAAATTTATACTTTTGAGATATAAAGGATCTAGAACATACTACAGAGATACTCTGAGCTTCATGTCAGGGCTTACTACTTCTTATTTTTATATATTGATATCTCATAGGTGAGTATGAAATGATGAAGCCCTGAGCTCAAATTATTGGGCTGGCCAAAAAGTTCGTTTGTTTTTTTCTGTAAGATGGCTCTAATAGTGCTTAGTCTTTAACTCCATTTGAAACAATTTTGTTTGTATTGTGACAACTGTTATGTCAGCATGCATTTAAAAAAAAGTAATAAAATTGGAAAATTGGTGTATTTTTGAGCAGCCATTTTAATACTGAAGATGGAAGAAAATATGCAACATTTTTGGTATATTATGCTTTATTATTTAAAGAAAGGTGAAAATGCAACTGAAATGCAAAAAAAAAAAAAGATTTATGCAGTGAGTGGAGAAGGTGGTGTGACTGACTGAACATATCAAAGTGGTTTGTGAAGTTTCGTGCTGGAGATTTCTCACTGGATGATGCTCCATGGTCAGTGAGGCCAGTTGGAGTTGATAGTGATCGAATAGAGACATTAACTGAGATCAACGAACATTATACCACGCAGGAGATAGATGACATACTCAAAATACCCAAATCAGTAAAATTATTAGTGAAAATGAAAAATGTCTTTTACAGAAAAAATAAATGGACTTTTGGCCAACCCAATATATTAAAACTTTAAAAAGTAATAAATCAAGCTTGTTTTGAGTATAATATGAAGTTTTTATTTATTGTATATACAAATTATTTTAACCCCAAAAGACTTAACACTTGGCTTTTAGATGCTATACAAGGTGACTAATTAAGGAAAAAAAACTTTGTGATACATTTCTCATTCCAATTATCCTTCTTCAGATCAAAGCTCTAAGTATAACACTAATGCTAAGCTACAGTCTCTTTTGTTTTTTGCTATTAAATTTACTAAATTAATAGAATTTATATTTTTAAAAACATCTGAGGCATGGTACCAGATCCTTCTAAAGACAAACATGTCATACAATCATAATACTTCAAAATCACTAGTTCCTAACTTAAAATAGAATAAGATAACTAACAGCAAAAACTACTAGCCACACTTTCAGGAGTTTTAGATTTTACTTAAAACAAGATTCCAACCCAATTTTCTTAATGATTATCAACTAATCACAGAATTTATTATTTAATGGATGCCATGGAATCCACACTAGTCTTTCTAACAAACACTATAAAACTACTGGTAAGTAAAAATAACAGAACATCTCTATAACAAATATAACCACAAAGACAATAAACAAATGGTATATAGCAGACATCTATGAAGAAGGATAAACTCTAAAATATATACCAAAATAATTAATTTGTTAAACTTGGAAATTTATTCTTCAGTGTAGGGAAAATATTAGACATAAAAGTATGATTTAGGTAACTCTTGGTAATATAACAAATGACAACCTAGAATTCCTAAAGCCAAACTGAAGCATAAATATTTCACTTGAAAATATAAGAAGTTTTCATAACACTGATCAATAGTCTAAACAGGTAGCTGGTAAAATTAAAACATAAAAATATACTTTTTAATACCTAAGACAAAGTAATCTGATTTTTTTGGTCCCTTCTCTTTTAGTTTTATAAATGAGTTTGTTCTATGAAATGAATATGCAAAAGAAAAAAAGTACGAAAAGTTAAAATTATATTCCAAAGGAAATAGACTCTCTTTGATTAACTTGCAGTTAAAAATAAAGCTGAGTGTCCACTTCAAATGTAAGATGAAGTCCCTCACCTGAAATTTCATTATATAAAATGTGATATTTGGTCTTGTTAATACATCACTTTAATGCATAACTAACACTCTTGTCTCACAAATGGCATTGAGATTTGGTTACTAGTATATAATGTAGTACATATATACTAAGACAATATTATATAATGAATGGAAAATAAAATATTAAAGAACACTGTCAAGTACTTAACATTTAAGGGTACTCCTGAAATTTTAAAAAATTAATTCCACACAAAAACATCCAGATATTCAAAATAAAGATGTTAGCTCAGTATATTTTTAAATAAGGGAATCTCTAATCCACACTAAAATATCAAATATGAAAGGTACTCAAATCTTATTTTTGAAAATTGCTGCCTCAGGCTACCACCCTTGACAGTGTTCTTTACTTGGTTTTCTTCAAGTTAAAGCTAGTTACAAAGATTAATCACCTTTGTGTTAGCATAGTTTCAACTTACAATCTATTAAGAATGGTCACAAACAGTAATGTAATATAATTATGACCATTTAATCAGAATTCTTTGGCTTTAATATCTTCATAACAGTACAATTTTGATTCAAAACAATCTTCCAATTATAATGATTATCTCCTAAACTGATTTCCCATAAAATGTATTAGCTTCATAGCTTCAGACAGACTTTTGAAAACTAATCCTTCAACTAAAATTGTATTTTTAAATTCAATTTAGTACAGAAGGACATCTATTGTTTAGCAACCAAACCTCAAACCAATTTATCCAATAATACAACCAAGTGTTTCTTAAATATGAAAATTTAGAGAATTTGAATACAGAAAGACATAAATAATCAAAGAAAACATTTCACCAAAAAGTTTCACTGTCTACCTCAAAATATGTTAAAACTATTTAGCAGATCTTCTTGATTATTACTTAGTAGATACAAATTTCAGCAACTACAAATAACATCTCCTCCATCTGTGGCTCTCTCCTTAGCATCTAACTATCCAAAACAACCCAGTGTAGTAAACAGGTAACAGAAAACCTAGAGACATATTTCTTTCTAATACTGTTGTCCTTTCTAACACTGAGAAAGCTTCTGTATTTATAAAGCAGTGGAAAGTCAACTGGTATTTCAATAACCCTCATTACAAGCACGTGTATTTTCAAACCATGAATTGTCAAGTAGGTTGTACAGTTATATTTACAAACAAAGTCATTTTTATCATTTTTCATTTAAAACTTGCTTAACAAGAACCAATTTGTTTCTATTAAACCAATTCTAAGAAACATTTATACAAATATACAGGGAATATATGTACCTAGTTTAGCACAGTTACCATGACTTAATAACCTAAAAAAATTGTAAAGACCTTATGCATGTTTTCAATCCTTGCATTTGATTTAAATTTGATACAAAAATCAAAAGAACATTAAGAACATAAAAGAAATCATCTACTTACTGCTAAGGTCAAACACCTACCTTGTTTCTCATTGTAGATTATATTCTTACACAGTAGATCATTATGGCAAAGCACAACAGGTGAGCCCAGGTTGGAAAGAATCTCCTTCATCCAAGTCATCTCTTCCTGAAGAATCTGAGAGCTTGGGATATCACTTACGAACCTTTTAGTTTTAAAAGAAGAGTTTTATCTTGTTTAGATCAATGGTTTTTTTTCAAGTTTGATTAAGGATTAATGTCTATGTTAAGAAGTTCTTTCCACTCAACTGCAAAGTTCTGAGTTAAAACAAGCCAATTATTCCAAAAGCTGGAATAAAGAAAAACCTTTACAATGAACTTAAATATGAATAAAAAGAAACTGAACAATAGTCGAAATATAGAGCAGAAAGGTAAAAACTGTATCACTACAAAATTGAAGGAAAAAGTAATATATAGAGCTAATAGCTAACACTAAGCAGTAGTGTAAATGTTTTATATTTATCTCCATTTTATCAATGGGAAAACCAAGACACAAAGCGTTTAATAAAAAGAGGTTTATGTACATTACTTAAAATTACAAAGACAGTCCATTAAAGAACTAAAACATCTATTTCAAGTTTGGAAGGGTAAATGCAATATGAATCAGCTAACTTCACATTTCAAAGCCACTAGATATTATTATCACTACACTGGCTCATATTATTACGTGACAATCATATAATTATTTTATTATCACATGATGATCATGTCATCGAATCTTCCATTATCTGCTATAGAAACTACCTCAGAATAGTCAGACTGGGAAGGGTGAGAGGTAGTGTGGCAAGCTGGCTTGGAGATCATGGCTCTTTACCTTATATTCTTTATTATTAGGCTCTATTTGTGTTAATTTGATAAAAATAAAGCAAAAATAGGGTGCCGCCACAAATTCCTCAATAATACCATCGGGCTTACAAAAACTGTTTACACTTTGTCTTCTTTCCTTTACACTTTAAGCCAAGTTCTCTTTATTCCTTTCAAATTATTTCTCATTTTTCCATTTTACAATATAATAATGATTCTGTACACTGAATTTACTTAAATAAATTTGCTTATTCAGGTGGCCTGTATTTTTCTCACTACTGCTTTCTCATCTACACAACAGCTTCCAAAAGTAATTCTTACAGGCTCTTTTTTAAATGCTGTAACTGTTCAAAATTCTAGGTTAAAAGTAGAGTTAAATGGAAAAAGAAATCAAAGCATTATGAATATGACCATTACAATCATGTACAAACAAAAAAGCAATTGTCTTTAATGTTCTAGTTGTATATTTTCTATTGGGGCAGGATGCTTTCATTCTGTTATTAATGAGCATCTCCAGCTTTTCCAAAGTATCACTGACATCAAGAATTCAAAGCATATCTAACAAAATATAACCTAAAATCTATCCTAAATAACTTTGAATAATAATAATTTTTAAAATAGCACCTAACATTTATTTAGCATGTAAATGGTCAGACACTGTTCTAACTACTTTCTATATACTAACTCAACCCTCTTGAGTTATACTAATTTTACAGAAAAAATAGGTAACTTGCGTAAGGTTAAAAAGCAGAAAAATGTTCAAGGGAACCCTAGTGCACTGTTGGTGAGAATGCAGACTGGTGCAGCCACTGTGAAAAACAGTATGGAATTTCCTCAAAAAGACAAAATGGAACTGCCTTTTGACCTGGCAATTCCACTGCTGGATTATACCCTAAGAATCCTGAAACACCAATTCAAAAGAACCTATGCACCCCAATGTTCATAGCAAAAAAGTGCTGGAAGCAACCTAAGTGCCCATTAGTAAATGAGTGGATCAAGAAACTGTGGTACATTTACACACTGGAATACGACACAGCAGAAAGAAAGAAGGATCTCCTACCCTTCATGACAACGTGGATGGAATTGGAAAGAGTTATGCTAAGTGAAGTAAGCCAGGCAGTGAAAGACAAATATCATATGATCTCAGTTTAAGTGGGACCTAGTCAATAAAACAAACAAGTGAGCAAAACAGAACCAGAGACATGGAAATACAAAACAAACTGAAAGTGACCAGAGGGTTGCAGGGGGTAGCAGGGGAAAGAATAAGAAGGGTCAAGTCCAGGAATGTGTGTAAAGGACCCAGAGACAACATCATTGTAGGGTAGGATTCAATGTGGGAGAGGGTCAGTGGGCAGGGCAGGGGAGAGAATTGAATGACAAGTTAAAAAATAATAAAAAATAAAATAAAAAGCAGAAAAGTTAACTGGCAGAACTGACATTTGATCCCCACGCTACTGGCTCCAGAGTCTTGTGCTCTGAAACTACATAATGCTATATACTGCCTCTCAACTCTGCTATTATCAAGAAAATCTTACATTCACCATTGCTATCTACTTCATTATTTTTAAGTGGTCTTCCCCCAAAAATCTTTCAATAAAATAGCGAATTTTCTGTTTTTATGCTGTCACTTCCTCAGTACACAGGACACACTTCCAAACATATCGTAATTAAAGGGGTATAATATCCTACCGAATTGAAAGTTTGACAAAATACCTGCATCAGATATAAACAGTTACAGAGTGACTCAAACTAATCATTGAAATAATCATACTCAACAAAACAACACAGCTTATTTTCCCTAATAAATTATTTTTTAAAAGGAAAAAAATCTATAGGTCCTATATGTTTCTGTTGTTCTTAAAGACTTCCTAAATACAAAAAGTGAAGTTTTCATGTACATTTTAGATACAAAGAACAAAATAAAATTCTAATTTTTATATTAATTAATAGATTCTAAAAACTGATTTACAAATTGTTTCATATAAAAAATAATGAAATACTAAGTTTGAACAGTCTTACAAAATCTAAGTCAGACTCTAGTAAACAAAGGTCCAACTACATTATATGGCGCTTCAGTACTTAGAAAACTAAAATACAAAGTTTTTCACACTCCAATATTACTATGCTGCCCCAATGTAGACCTCTAGGCTATTTAAAACAGCTTTGAACAAAAAGAATTTTTTTCAAGTCTCAATGGCCAACTCACACTATGAAAAAACATACCCATTTTTAGTAATCTTTATATTTCATTTACTTGCCAATAAATGTTCTATATCTATTTTTGGCCCCTCACCTCTACCTACTTCTATACCCCCTACTTTTTGTAGGGTTTTGGGGGGGCAGCTGAGGGCTCACCTGGGGAAGAGAGTGACTTTATTTCTACAGTGACATCTGAGAGTTGAATGAATCATGATTATTTTATTTAAATGCAAAGAGATAAAGCGAACCAGAATTTATATACAGAAACCTTGTAGTTATCTTTGAGACCCACTGTTTAGAATAAAGCAATGTAAAACATCATTTCGAATGTAAAAGTAATTTTACCTTTTATTAAGATCTTCATCTGCAAATCCTGTGGGAATGAGAGAGAAGTACTTCCCCATCTTGAGCCACAGATTAGATTTGGGAATCCAGCCATTGTGCGCATGGATAGCATGAATTTTAGCAAGCTGGCGTGCTATTAGCCTGTTTAAAAACAAAACAGCAGAGAAAAAATATTAAGCATCATACAGTTCACTGTCTAGCCACAGGTAAACTAAAATGACTAGTATGCATTTTTATAACATAATTTCATCTTTACCATAAATGTGTAAGACTGAAAATAATATGGCAAGTCACTTCTAACAAGGAGAGAAAAACAACTGCTTAAAGCATCAGAGGGAAGATTAGGCCATTAAATACTGTGTCCAAAAAGAACTGAATGTCTGAAAGTAGGTGTCTTATTTTGATTAACACAATGTTTGGGATCAGCAAAACAGTACACAGTAATAAATGATTTCAAGGCACATATTAGACATTAATCACAAAAACATTTAATTGCACTTAGTTATTTTAATTTTGAGCCTTTGAGGTTAAAGGGCAAAAGGGAGATAACCAGGGAGGATAAATAGGTTCTCGGAGTTAATGTCTTTAACTGTGTTAAAGACAAATACTCTGTGTCTTTAACTGTGTTAAAGACAAATACTCTGAACAAACATAGGATTTTATGATGTGAGAACCAATCTTCTTCATGAAACCTCAAAATAAGTTGCATATACTTATGCCCATACTATGTTTGTCTTTTTAGAACCCAGTAGAGCAAATGCTGACAGAGGAATAAGCATACCAATCATAAATAAGAAATAAACAAAATAGATGGGGGGGCAAGAATAGTATGGGAAATATAGAATCTAAAGAACTTGAGACACATGGTCATAAACTAAAGGGGAGGTAATGGTGGGGATGGGGGGTAGGGTGGAGGGAAATGAAGGGAGGGAAATAGAACAACTGTAATGGCATAATCAATAAAAAAATAAAGAAATAAACAGCCTATAAACTAATAGGTGAAAAAGTGACTTAACAGTAATCCTCAAACTGAATAACTTACACCTGGCAAATTTTCAAGTGCTAACAATCTAAAGTAATGCTTCTTAAATTAGTTCTAGGACTTACAAATAATATCATATATGAATACCTGAGGTCCCACCTCAGATTTACTCAATCCCAATCTCTGGGGCAGGCCCTAGCACTTTCCATTTTAAAACAAGATCTCTAGGTGATCCTAATCCACTGTAAAGTTTAAGGGCACTAATATAATGCTCTTCAGCTTGGCTATGTAATGAAACCAAATTTTGGAACTTCAAGGGAAAAATACAGATCCCTGGGTACTACCAGCCAGGCATTATGATTTGATTGGTCTGAGCAGTCAATGTATTTAAAGCTTCCCAGATGACTTTGATATGCAAAAACATTTGAGAGCCATTCCAACTAACAACATGTTAGTTGGAATCTAACACAGGGAATCTAACAGCCTGTTATTACCTGGCAAAGTATTACTAGCCACACTTTCAGGAGTATTCACTATAGCATAAAACTATTAGTTTTATGCTATAGTGAATATTCCTATCGACCTACTTTCTAGTAACAAGAATCCTGATTTTCCTCCAGAGAAATGTCCATCCCCCTCATTTTTAGTTAATGCGATTCATACAGCATTTATCCTGACTCCCCATCCTACCTGCAAGAGTAACTTTAGTAGGAGTAAAATATGGCACACACTTGCCCAGAACACTCCATCCTTCACGCTACAATAATTGGTTCAAGGCATATCACCCACGCTAGGCCAGAAGGACTCGATTTCAGAACTTTTGTTGAAGCTTTGACTTTGGCTGAAGCCATCAGAAAAAGAAGAATTCCTCACCCCTACAACCTAGGGTGGCAATAGTGATTAGGTAAGCCTGCAACTGCTGATCATTGTAATTTGACAGAAAGTAAAGTGAACACAGACTTTTAGAAAACAAAGTGATATTACTAATGACACACTGTTCTGGAGCCCATGGATCCATCCATGCTTGAACTCATTCTCAGTTATATGTATCAATAAATTCTTTCTCCTTTAAGTCAGTTTGAATTCTCATCATACTCAATTAAGAGTCCTAATGCATTACCAAAATATTAAAATCTGTAACCATTTTAGGTATGTGTGCTTTTATTCATATCTCTCACATTGGTAAATAATTATTTATATAAATTAAATAACTGCTGCTTGAGTGACCTTCCCAAAGACCACCTACTCATTTCTGACAATACAGTAAAAAAGAAACCTATTTTTATGCCCAACTTTCATATATGCATAGACCCAAATTAATGTATGATACTTTGAGGAGGAGGAGGAAAGTTCAGGAAAAGGCAAGGTGATGATAATGCCGAAACAAAGGAGAGGGCAAATACATATACATATGTGTATGTGAGAGACACATATATATTTTAAGCCAGTAAGAACAGGTTTAGGACTTTAAAGATGGAGTCGGGACAAGAGGCCTGAAGAAATATACAGTTGTGTTCCAAAACACACAGTGGGTGATCTATGTCAATAGAACACTGTGTCCTCGGTATGTTTACTGACCAAGTAAGACTGGAACTGGTGATACAGGAGCAAAGTCACATAGTGAAACAGGTGTTCGACACCAATATATTTTATTTACTGTGATTTCAAAATAAATACCATATTTCTGTCACGTATAATGTGCTGCCATGTATAATGAGCACCCACGTTTTTGGCCCAAACTTTCAGGAAAAAAAATTTTCTATTTAACTTTTTAATTCAATTTATTTATATTTAGACACCTGTTCTTTGTATTACAAGGAATTTTAGCATTTACTTTTGAACATATTATGATATAAGAAATTGTATGTAACAAATAATTACAAAGTACAAGAAAAGATACAAGGTATTTCAGGTACTACCTGTATATAATGAGCATCCTTATTTTTCCCTCAAAAGTTTGGGCCAGCCCTGGCTGGCACTGCTCAGTGGATTGAGCACCAGCCTGTGAACTAAAGGGTTACAGGTTTGATTCCCAGTCAAGGCACATGCCTGGGTTGTGGGCCAAGTCCCCAGTGGGGGGCATGTGAGAGGCAACCACACAGTGATGTTTCTCTCTCTTTCTCCCTCCCTCTCCTTCTGTCTAAAAATAAATGGATAAAATCTTTAAAAGAAAAAAGGTCTGGGCAAAAATCATGCATTATACATGGCAAAATGCAGTAATTAATAATGTCAATTTTTATAGTTTTACCCCAGAGTTTGTATGAAACCCTGATATGCAAAACATAAAATGTAGTCTCAAAAGTTGTCTAATTGTACATTATTTAGTTGCTTTTATTCATCTCTCTCAAATTGGTAAATAATTATTTATATAAATTAAATAACTGCTGCTTGAGTGACCTGGAATGACAATTCTATGGTAAATACTTCAAAATGAATAATACATATGGCCACAGTTCCAAGGGGCTCTTTTAGATTAATGGAATCTGTTGAATATGAATAGACGCTAGAAAGAGAAAACACATACAACTTCTGAGTGCTATGACCTTTCTGGCACAAAGGTGGATAACTAGAGCAATTTGAACTGATTATGTGATGCAAATGTCAAGCCTTTTCCACTACAGAACCCACCCCCCCCCACAATGCTGCACAGAATTAGCTGGGTTATAATTCTGACTTTGCCACTGTATTTCAATCTGAACTAAAGCAAATTATTTAATTTCTTCGAGTTGCAGTATTCTTACAAAAGAAAAATACTGTTTTACTTCATAATCTTTAAGTTCTTCAAATCTAAAATTATATGCCAATAAGTATCAGGAAAAATTACATAAAAAATTTAATTGCTGACAACATAAACTTCACATTCATATTCCTATACAAATATCCTATAGACTAACTTCCCATTTCACACCAATTTCTAACTAATTATAATACAAATATTAAATGAACATAAGCTACAAATTAACAAGCAAAATTTTCCAGATGATATTTTTATAAAAAGCTTATCAAATATAAATTTCCCTCTTAGTAAGTCTGATAATACAAACGAAAATGAGAATTACTATTATATGAAATTTTACAAACCTTTCTGCATAAGGTAATACATATCTACTCAAAGAGGAAAAAAACAACATTTGCAAAAATCTGTATCAATACTTAAGAGCTAATTATAATCTAATGTAAATTATAGATATATTTGTCCTACCCATAGGTGTACATTTAAATTATGAGGGGCAAAATTAATATTAAATGACTATATTGTATTTAATAGGCAAAAATATATTCAGCATTATTTAAGATGTTTTATAGCATTTTCCTATAAAATTAAAAATAGATTAACAAATAATAGTAAGAGTTGAGATTGCTTACTATTGAATACTATTTATAAATACTTCCACTAAGTTACCCTATAAATAACAAAGACCATGCCTTGCTTTTCCATCTATTCTAGCATTCAGTACTTAGAAGAGGCACTTAACAGGTATTTCATGAATTGGTCATTATCTTAGCAACAAACTCGGAGTACATTTAGAATTTTACTATAAGACCAAGGGATTCTCCAACTACTATTAGGTTTATTAGGTATTAAGTTTATTGTCAGGTGGATTAAAATATATCTTGGATTTTTAAAAATCTCATATGGTAAGAGTTTTACAAAATTAATGCTATAAAAAACAAAGTGACCTTTTGAAATAACTGCCTGTTCTTTTATAGGACAGGCACATCTTGTACAAGCCTCTTCTCAAATTACAGAATTCAAAAAACTTCTATAGGTCTTAGAACTACCTGGTCTACCTTTTCTGTAGAAAAATTAATGAGGAAGAAAATCTATAGTACAAATATCTTCATGGAAATAACAAATACAATTCAACCACGATCATAGCACCAACATACTAAAAACCGAGGCTTCGGATGAGAGATTTAAAAAAGTCCTAATTCTAAGTTCCATACTCACCTAAAATTTTGGATAAACTGGGCTTGATCAAAACATACAATTTGTAAAAAATGACTTTGTTAAGAAAATTAAGTTTTTACTGGTAAGTGAATTCAGTAAAATTGCAGAACACAAAAGCAACACATAAAAAAACAGCTGTAGTTCTCTATTAACAGTGAACAATCCAAAAAGGAAAGAGAACAATTCTATTTACAATGGCATCAAAAATAGTAAAATACTTAGGAATGAACTTAACCAAGGAGTGAAATTCTCTGTACAATGAAAGTCACAAAAGGTAACTGAAAAAAATTAAATTATACAAATAAATGAAAGGATATCACATGTTCATGGGCTGAAGACATCAATTCTACTCAAAATGTTCTACAGACCCAATGCACTTTCCATACAAACCCCAATAGTGTTCTTTGCATGGACAGGAAAATCCATCCTAAAATTCAAACAGAATCTTAACGAACCCTGGATAGCTACAACAACCTTGAAAGCAAGAATGAAGTTGGGGGCCTCACACTTCCTGATTTCAAAACTTATCACAAAACTACAGTTACCAAACTGGCGCAGCACAGGAGGTTCTCAAATAACGTCATTTCATTCAGTATTGATGAGGAGAAACAATTCACAGTCAGGGCCACTGTCTGTGTGAAGCTTGTACATTCTTCCCATGCACGCATGGGTTTTCTCCAGGTACTCCAGTTTCCTCCCACCTAAGATGTGCATGTTAGGTGCACTGCCACATCTAAACCGCCCCAGTTTGAGTGTTGGTAGGTGTGTGAGTGTGGCCTGTGTTGAAATGGTGCTCTGTTCAGGGTGGGTTTCCACCTTGCCAATATAGGCTTTGGAGGTCTGCAACCCTAAATTGTAATAAGCAGGTTAGAAAATAATTCTTGTTTTTATCAATCTTTCTTAAATGTATGTATGTATAATTTGCATTTATTTCAGTTCTTAATACTAGAAGTGTTTTAGGTCATCATTTGTAAGATTGGTGATGTGTGATCAGAAATATGCCATAAGAACTTTACTCTGTTTACAGCTGACCCTTCAACAACTCAGGGAGTGCCACTGACTCAGCTGCACAACAGAAAATCCACATATAACTTTGATTCTCAAAAAACTTAACTGCATTATGTAGTTGACTCTTGAACAACATAGGTATTAGTGGTACTGACCTGCCACGGAGTTGAAAATCTGCATTTAACTTTTTTTCGATTTTATTTATTTACTTTTAGAGAGAGGGGAAGGGTGAAAGAGAGGAAAACACCAATGTACAAGAGATACATTGATGGGTTGCTTCTCTCATGCCCGAAACCAAGGATCTGGCCCACAAACCCAGGCATGTACCATGACTGGGAATCTAACCAGTGAGTGACCCCTCAGTTCACAGGCCAGCCCCCAATCCACTGAGCCACACCAGCCAGGGCAAAAAAAAAAAATCTTCATTTAACTTTTGAATCTCTGAAAAAAATAACTATTGTACTAATACCCTACTGTTGAGTGGAACTGATAACACAAAGTCCATTACCAACAGTGGGATACTACCTTGTGCCATTAGGATGGCTAATATCAAAAATAAAACCCAAAAATATTAAGTGTTGTCAAGGATATGGAGAAATTGGAACCCTTGTGCGCTACTGGTGGAAATGTAAAAAGTTGCAACTGCTGTGGAAAACAGTATGGCAGTGTCTCAAAAAATTAAAAACAAAATTACCATATGATACAGTAATTCCACTTCTGGTTATATCTCCAAAAAAACTGAAAGCAGTGTCTCCAAAAAAAATATGCATACCTGTGTTTGTAACAGTATTATTCACAACAGTCAAAGGGTGGAAGCAACCCAAATCTCCATCCAGGAATGAATGAATAAACCAAATGTGATACACACATAAAGCTAAGTATCAGTCAGCCTTAAAAACAAAGGAAATTCTGACATATGCTGCAACAAGGATGAACCTTCAAGGCATCATACTAAGTGAAATAAATCAGTCACAAAAACAAAGCAAGTATGAATCCACTCACATGAGGTACCTAAAGCAGTCAAATTTATCCAATTACATGAGGTACCTAGAGCAGTCAAATTTACAGACAGAGAGTAGAACGATGGCTGCCAAGAGAACGGGAACTTGTTTAATGAGTATAAAATTTTAGTTTTGCAAGCTGAAATCAACTATGAAAATTGGTTGTACAATGTTTAACATTATATACTATATACTACAGAAGTTGGCAAAAGTAGGTTTACAGTTGTGGGTTCTTATTAAATAAATGAGAACAGAGTTTATTCTTATATTATTTATTTATTATTGTATTATTTATTTGTATTACAACTGTAAACCTACTTTTCCTAACACCTGGGTGTATATACATACTATATATATACTATGTAACACTGTGTAAACAGTATACTTAAAAAATAGTCAACATAGTAAATTGCTGCATGTATTTTAAAATTAAAATTTTAGTTAAATAAAATTACAAAAAAAGAATATAGTCCTTAAAAAGATTTAATTAAAACAATCATGTTCTATTAGTAAATTTTATATATAACAGAAAAAAACTATTTAAAAAATCTCTTCATTAAGACATTATTTAATAAACCATTGATTTTTGTTTTATATACACAAGATAATGAAAAACTACTTCAAAGATTTCTGACTGTCATATATTAGTCTTCTACCTTGTCTCAATAAATAAGGTTTTACTGAACTAACACCAAGGCAAATACTACTGTAAAATCCCATACTCAATAAAGCTAAATGTTTAAAAATCTTAAAGCTTCACTGAATTCCTCAAATACCTACTAACACTCACTAACTGCTCCCGTGGAAACTCTTAAATATTTAAGAGCATTAAAACAATAACAGAAATTTTTTAATTGAAAAATAATCCCTAATCCTACCATCCCAATAGTTTATTTCATACTCCCTTTGAGTTTTCACATGAGCAAACTATTGCTGGACTGTAGGTTACAATTCACCTATTGAGCTGATTTTTCTTCTTAGCCCTGTATAAGCCATTTTGCACGTTTTGGACAATTTTCAAAACTATCATTTAAATAGTAGCGTAACACTTACTAGGGCTGGTGTGCCTTAGCTATATCTAAGTATGAGTCATCATGACAGAAATGTAACATATAACCTTAAAAAATTACTATATATTTCCTTAATAACTTCCAGAAGAGAACATTACCAGTTTTTCTTGCAACTCACAATGAACCAGTTTCACCACAATGCCTTTAGCACTGGAAGTCAGTGTTTTAGTTACACTTCTTAAAAATGTGCAATAAGCCCTAGCTGGTGCGGATCAGCGCACTGAGCACCATCCTGCAAATCAAAAGGTCCCCGGTCAGGGGTGTGTAAGAGGCAAACACCCATTGATGTTTCTCTCCCTCTCTTCCTCCCTCCCTTCCCCTCAGTCTAGAAGTGGATAGGTGAAATCTTTAAAATAAAGAAATATAAATGTGTAACAGCCCCGGCCAGGTGGCTTAGTTAGTTGGAGCATGGTCCCATGTATCAAAAGGTTGCGGATTCAATCCCTGATTGGGGAGCATACGGGAGGCAACCAATCAATGTTTTTCTTTTACATCCATGTTTCTCTCTTCACTGTCTCTCTCAAATCGACGAACATATCCTCAAGGTGAGGAGTTAAAAAAAAATGTGCAACAATTTGTTTGAAACTTCCCTTCTCCCATTATGTCTGCTGCTGGGTGGTTTTTAATTTAAGATTAGTCAAGATTCTCAGAGGCACATTTTAGAGAGATACCTGATGAGAAAATTCCTAAACCTTTGAATTTCAAAAAAATTCTCTGAAGGTCTTTGTAATACTTGATTGCTACAGAAGAGTTTAAATAAAACAGATCATGATAACTTTCTATAAGCTGAATTACTACATAAGCATTAAGTTGGTACTACTGGTCTTTACCTATCATCCCATTCCCTCGTCTTCCTCCATGCTCTCTGCCTTATCCTTCAAAGCCCAGTTTAAATGCAATCTCGTGAAACACTGCGTGATTTCCTCAGTACACTACAGTAAACTACCTGCACTATTTTGAAAAGCTTTTCTCCGGTGCATACCATTTTACTCCCCCTCTCCACGATTATTGTCTGTCACGAACTGTAAATTACTAGGAGATCAAGGACTGTCTGAATTCTCTTTCTTCCCCTAAACTGGATCAAACATAAACATATTCCCATGCCTTTTATATTTACAGTAGATACCCTTTGTTATAATTCAAGCAAGAAGATATGTCTGAATGAGCCAAAGCAAACAGAGAATTGTGAACTTTGATCTAAGGTGCAATCAACATTTACTGAAACTGTAATTAATCAGTCCAGATTGTTCACTAAAAATTTATCAATAGACTGACCTAAAACAATGGCTTAAAATGTGCCATCTAATTAAATCCAAATTGATAATAAGAAGTATTAAATGCTTTGAGTCAAGCACTGCTGTAAAAAATTAAAGGAAAACCTTGTTTTTCTGGAGCAGACTAAACCAAATCCTCTCGTGGTCCTTTCTTTTGCAAAGGGTCAACAATGAGAATGGCAGAAAGAAAATGTTTCTTTAGCTGTAAGAAAACCCTTACTAAAGAAAGTTTCTAAGTCCTGGCTGGTCTAGTTCAGGGTTGCCAGTTCTATTCCCAGTCAGGGAACATGCCTGGGTTGTGGGCCAGGTCCCCAGTGGGGGCCATGTGAGAGGCAACCAAACACTGATGTCTCTCTAACTCTCTTTCTCCTTCCCTTCCCCTCTCTCTAAAAATAGATACTTTTTTTAAAGTTTCTAAGTTAAACAAATAGTTACTCCAAGAACGAAAAAGCAATGTTAAAATATATTTTCTTAGTGCGCTTAATACTTGTTTTGCAAAAGGAAGTATTTAGAAAAAGAAATGTACCTGAAAATGGCAGGGTTGCGGACATGCTTTGGATCCAATGCTTCTCCCTGTATAAATTCATAGCACAATCCATTATTGAAAGTACAGTAGAGTTGTGGTGCACAGCCATGGGCCTGTAACACTCGGAAACTCTTCACTTCCTCATCTCGATCAACTAGCAATTCAGTCTTATTGCCATAAATTCGCACCAGGACAACATCCTCCATTGTGTTGCCCACATAACAGCCAATAAGTTTGTTTGTGATTCCATCGGTGAAGAGCTGCCCAAAAAAGAAGAAAATGGGGGCCGGAGAAAGCCATTAGATACTTACAGGGAACTGAGTAAAAGATACTGTGAAAATAATTAAGTAGAAATTAAAAGAAATTATCTACTTTTTAATATAAAAGAACTTTTGAATGCAATTTTGCCTAACGTGTCATTAATTTTAATTCTAATTAAATAGTAATTACACTGTTCAGTCTTGCTATTTCTATAACATCGCCTTCCTTGATTTAAAAGTGTTAATTATTCAACAACTAGTATTTCTATACAACTTTTTGATAGCTATTATATCTCAGTCTGCCTTGTACTGCAATCATTGCAAATGAATATGTGTGTGACTCAAATCTACAACTTCCATTAAAGTTTTAGTATAAACTCCTGTATTGGAGTTTCTAGATTATCAGCCTACCCTACAAATTTCAAATTTCAAACTTACCAGCCTCCACAGCTGCATGAGCCAATTCCTTGAAATAAATAATATATAAGAGAAATTCTATTTCTCTGTACAACTCTGACACACACAGTTTTTTGAACTTTTAATTTCATTAATAAGAATTTAGTCTATGGATATACTTTAAATTTTTTTCCAAAATATGTGTATAAAAGCAGTTCACTGCAATACTGTTTTTACTATCCAAACAATAGAAACAATTCAAGGTTGCTTTGAAAATATAGGCCAGATTACATATACTAACATGAGAGGAGGTATAAGAGATACTTGCATTATTTTAAAAAGCAAACACAGAGTAACTTAAGTTATGTATATAAAAGGAATATATTCATAGATATTTATATACATACTTTGATATGAACCCTGGGAAAATCCTGATTTGTTATTATTTTAGAGTTTCATAGGAAAACATTCACAAAATTACCTTTAGGGAGAATGACTTGGAGTTAAGAAAGTTAGACTTCTCATTTTTCATTCATATCCTTGTATGTGTTATAAGTATTTTATTGAGTGTATATCATTTATATTTTTTTAAATAAAATCAACAGGTTTAGATAGAATATGACCTTTTTAATTTTTTTACTTCACAATTTTTTAAAACCTCATTTAAAAATACTTGTCACATAATGTTAACATGACAAATACCATGCTAACAGCTATCAAAAAATTATAGTCAACATCATACAACCATGGGAAAATGGTTACAAAAGGCTGTATTAAAAAAAGAAATACGAAACTGCCTATGGTGTGATTATAACTATGTAAAATACATAGGGAGCCCTGACTGGTGTGGCTCAGTGGATTGAGTGCCGGCCTGCAAACCAAACGGCCACCAGTTCGATTCCCAGTCAGGGCACGTGCCTGAGTTGCAGTCCAGGCCCCCAGTATAGGGCATGTGCAAGGCAAGAGAAACTGATGTTTCTCTCCCTCTCTCTCTCCTTCCCTTCCCCTCTCTCTAAAAATAAACAAATAAAATCTTTTAAAAACTAATAAAATAAAAAATACATATAGGAGAAACAGAAGTTAATAAAAAATCAGGTAATTTAAAAATAAAATACAGATAGACATTTTTTCTATTCAAAGTTTTAGTATTGTAAACATCTTTTTAGTAAAACTAAATTATTTCATGTAAAAGGGAATTTCAAGTTCTTTGTAAAAGGAAATTCATGTACTTGCTGTATTATTTTTCTTAGAATACTGACTTGCAAAAAATGACTAATTCAAAATATTCTATTTTGTTATTTTAAAATAAATTAAAAAACTGCTATTGTGATTACCACAATAGAGGGAGGAAGAGGTTAGGACCAGGGAGAAGAAATGGAGATAAATTCTGGGTTACTGGTAATATTTTTTCCCCTGTGCCTGGGTTATACAGGTATTTGGGTTCTACTAGTTTATGTTTCATGCATTTTTCCAAATGTTTGTTATATCTCATGAATTTTAAGAGTGATAGAAACTTATCTATTTATAACCCATTTGTTTTATCAAAGAGTAAAATAACTCCTTATAAGACAAATCATGAGATAGATAACCTCTGACTCCTTAAGTATAGATCTTCTATTACTGCCCTATACTCAAAGGAAAAAAATCTTAAGCTTCCCTCTTCTCTCACCTACAAGCAATTAACAAGTCCTACACATTTATTTTCTGAAATGTCAATTCTGTCCCTTTATTTCCATCTCCAAGGCCACTCTCCTAATTAGGGTCTTAGCACCTCTTGTCAAGACTAACAGTCTCTCCTACATTCTTTCTCAAATATTTGTTAATAAAACACACAGAAAGATATCTATTTATCACCTAACTCAGTACACAGATATTTTATGTACAGGTAAAAGAACCCTGACTGGGTGGCTCAGTTTCCAACATACTGGGGTTAGGGAATCAATCCCAGGTCAAGGCACATACAGGAGTCAACCAATGAGTGCATAAATGAGTAGAACAACAAGTTCCTATCTTTCTAAAATAACGAACAGCCCTGGCTAGTGAGGCTCAGTGGATTGAACGCTGGGCCAGAAACCAAAGGGTTACCAGTTAAATGTCAGGGCACATGCCTGGGGTTCGGGCCAGGTCCCTAGTTGGGTGTGCACAAGAGGTAACCATACATTGCTATTTCTTTCCTTTCTCCCTCCCTTCCCCTCTCTCTAAAAATAAATAAATAAATAAAATCTTTAAAAGTAACATAGAATAAAGTAATAAAAGTTTAAAATTTATTAGAAGTAAAACAAGCTTCACAAAACTACTTACCTTATTACTTGCAAGGCCTTATGGTCTATCCTATCACATCCCATTTTAATTTTTAAAAAATTTTATTTACTTTTAGAGAGAGAGGGGAAAAAAGGGAGAAATAGAGGGAGAGAAACATCGATATGTAAGAGAAACATGGTTTGGGGCTACCTCTCACACGCCCCCAGCTGGGTACCTGGCCAGCAAGGCAGGCATGTGCCCTGACTGGGAATCAAAACCTTCGGTTTTCAAAATGATACCCAATCCACTGAGCCACACCAATCAGAGCTCACATCCCATTTTATTTCATGTATTTAAACTGTTTTGGTTTTTACCCCCAATACTGATTTAGCATCCTATAGTGCCTGGTAACCACCAGTTTCAAAACCAATGTCTTAAGTGATTATTACTTATCCTCTAATTCAACACATTTCCTTCAACCTCTGTCGCTTACTCACTCCTGCCTCTACTCTAAAAAATACACAATATAACTCACCTACTTAAAAACATTCAATGGCTTCCCATTATATCCTACAAAATACCACCTCCTTAATGAGGCACAAAACCTTCATATCTAACCACTCCCCTTCTCAAAAATCAACTTCACTTCCTTTCTTTTTTGCCCAAAATACTCATAGTCTAACTCTGTGAAAGTACTTTCTTTGCCCAGAAATGCTTCCCCATTCCATTTGATAACTCTCCCTCAAAGCTCAGCTCAGGTATGCCTCCTCTATGAAGCCTCCCCTCCTATATTTTTCCATGCCTACCTTCTGCTACAGTTAGTGTATAAACCAAAGTTGCTGAAAATTAGTACTGTGCCTAGTACAAAAAATTAAGCATCAGATTTACTAAATTTTAGGAGCTTACAGTCCAAATCAAAATTTCCAATTATAAATGTGGGGAGGGGCTGGGAGAGGAGTTAGACATGAGATGGAGGCATATAATACTAAAACATGCTATGCATAATTTTATGTATTTGATTTAATTCTCAGATTATTGTATTGGTGGTAAAGTAATATTAGAAGTAAAATTAATATTAGTAGTATAGTAGTAAAGTAGTGGCATAGTAGCAAAATTCTGTAATTCTATTTTCCAAGGTACACAGTAATGCCATTTTATAGAGATCTTAAAACGTGCCAAAGGTTACAAATGACTGGAATCAGGATTCAAAGACCATCCTCTTCCACCATGTTATGCTGAGTCCCAGAGAGGTGAAATGGTTTGCTTACTCCAAGTCACACAGCTTTAATAGCTGAAAATGAACTGTTATGCTCCTGTCTTCTTGGTCGCATCTTAGTAAAATACATGGCAATGACTGCTTTGGTAGCTAAAACTGGAGCGACAGAGAGAAGATTAACATGGGCTCCGCACGAGGATGACATGCAAATTTGTGAAGTGTTCCATATTTTTAAAAAATACATGGAAACCTACCAAACACTACAAATCTTTGATAGGAGCCTATCAAATTTTATACATTTCTCTTAGCCACAGACAATAGTCTTAGGTCCTACCATCCACCTGAGTATCTTGTTATAAGATACTGAAAAAAAAAACACAGAGGGAAGAAATACAGAATAGAAAACTGATATTAAAAGTTATGTTAGCCCTGGCTGGGGTGGCTCGGTGGATTGAGCGCAGGCTGCAAACCAAACGGTCATGGTTTGATTCCCAGTCAGGGCGTATGCCTGGGTTGCAGGCCCGGTCCCCAGAGGGGGCCATGTGAGAGGCAACCAAACATTGATGCTTCTCTCCCTCTCTTTCTCCTTCCCTTCCCCTCTCTCTAAAAATAAATAAAATCATCTTTTAAAAAAAATAAAAAATAAAAGTTATGGTAAATAAAAACTTTTATTTATGTAGCTATAGGACTCAAGTTTCCTAGAAATATTGTATCCTTCTGGCACCCTTAATATGTTACTTAAATTTACCTAAGCCTATGTTCAGAAAGTTCTGTCACATAAAGAAACTCATCTTTATAAAAATAGGAAATATTAATTATTAGATTAAAACACCAAAGGAAACACAATTTAACAGGGCAACTATATCATCGAAATCTGATTCATTAAATAAAAATCAAGCCTGGCTGGTGTAGCTCAGTGGATTGAGTGCGGGCCCACAAACCAAAGGATCACAGTTTGATTCCCAGTCAGGGCACATGCCTGGGTTGCAGGCCAGTTCCCAGCAGGGGACACACGAGAGGCAACCATACATTGGTATTTCTCTCCCTCTCTCCTTCCCTTCCCCTCTAAAGATAAATAAAATCTTTAAAAAAAGATAATTGGTTTAAAATATATATATATCAAATATCAGTATTAAAATGAAAGAAGTGACCAAGTTCTTAACAGAATATTTCAATAACTATCTTATAGTTAAATAGGAAGAAGGGAGTGTAAAGACTATGTAGCTACATAACCTAAGACAAGTATTGGTTTCCAAAACAGTGCATGTATACTTTAAAAAAAATAAATGAAGAGGTTTCAGGACTATGCATTCAAAAACCTGTACTACAGCCGCGGCTGGGTAGCTCAGTTGGTTAGTGTCGTCCCCACAGCCCTGGCTGTGGGCTAAATGCCCAGTCAAGGCGCACACAAGAAACTGACAAAAGCATCAAGAACTGGAAAAATAAACTGATGTACCTCCCTCCCCTTGTCTAAAAATCAACAAATAAAAGTTAAAAAAAAAAACCCTTATACTACAGAAGAACAGTATGCTTTTTAAGTGTTTTTGTGTAACCTTTACAAATGAACAAAATTGGAATGTTCATTCCAAAAACACTATGCTGTAATTGTTTTCTTCCATTTGTATTGCACATCGTACTGCGAATTTCTGAGATGTATTGTTTGTTTTTTTCATTCAGGCATCCAATATATAGTAGGTGCTCGGTGGTTAACAATTATCATGAGATAGCATTTATTTCATTCTCACAACCACCCTTTGAGGTAGAAACACTCAGGTCTATTTTACAGCTAAGGATACTGAGGCTTAGGGAAGTTAAGTAATGACCAAGATAACACATCAAGTCAAGTAAAAAACATGGACTCAAAAAACCAGCATTATGTTCAAACTCCATGTTCTTGAGGGGTGTAATATTGTATTTATTGAAAAATTAAGTTAATATGAAGTACCATATAGCAACTGATCTCATGAGATACTATAACAAGAATAAATGTGTTAGCTTTATAATGTCACATACTAATTAATGTCTTTCTATCCTGTCAAGCCTTTCCCATCATCTACCATAGGTCCCAAGTTATTTTTAAAAATTCACAATTAATGAAAAAAACATTGTCCAATATTGCACAGAAATATCTAGAAGCAATACAGAATATTCCAAATACTGACTGATCAACCGTTTCAGAAGAAAAACAATTTTAAGAGTCTCCTTAGAAGTATTCCATCGTGCTTAAAAGATCTCACTTGATTCTTTAATTTTTTAAGATATATATGTTTTAAGATACCATTTATTTATCTTTAAAGGGGAAGGGAAGGATAGAAGGAGAGAAATATTAATGTATGGTTGCCTCTCGTGAGTCCCCTACTGGGAACTGGCCTGCAACCCAGGCATGTGCCCTGACTGGGAATCAAACTGGGATCGTGTGGTTAGCAGGCCCACGGTCAATTCACTGAGCTACACCAGCCAGGGCTTCTTTATTCTTTTTTTTCCAAGGACTATCCAAAGAAATGAAGATACATTAAAACTCTACATCTCCATAGAAGATAGGGAGCTGCTACATAACAAAAGGAACGCTGAAGTGAATCCCTTTTCTAAAATAATGTCACACATGTGAAAGGTAATGCAAATTTCTGTTCAGGAAAACTTAAAGCAAAATATCTCTTACGGGCCAAAGCTTTTATTTTTAAGAAATTAATTTTGCATAGAAATGGCTTCCCTACCTTAATCATAACACATGAATGTAAACTTTTCTTTATCAAAGAGCAGTAATTCATAAGATGGGTGCCCATCCCAGATCTGGTACTTACAAACTGCAAGTTCAATTTCATTAAGTATAAATTACATGTTAAAAGTCTGCATCTCCCTCACAGGATTGCTCTTGGGAGAATGGATGTGAAAGTACTTTATAAACAATAAAATATTATTAAATAAAAAGCACTGCAACAAGAATTGTTTATACTTACTTTGCCCATTATAGGATATTACACTCCAAAGAGCTCACCACCCTTTTTACACATTATTTAAACTTGTACAAATAGGAAAACCAAATAACTAAATTTGTTAAAACCCTGTCTGAAATGAGACATATTATCTCATGTGTCCATAAGTTTTGAGCAAAGACTGGGACCTCTATCACTTTAACTGCACTCAAGTCTTTTTTGCTTGCTTCTGGATTTTCCAGTATGTTCTGAATGTTCTGCTGGCAGGAGTAATTGGCAGGCTAAAAAAAAAAAAAGTATCGCTAGGTACATTTAAACTGTGTTTTAAATCATGTAAAAATTTTAGAAAAATATCTTTGACAAGAAATTAATTATATATACTACTGATACTGTTTTAATCTATTGAGTATATGACACATACTTCCAACTTCTGAAATGTGAAATATAATTTTTATTTTTTTACTTCAATAAAAATAAAAACAAATTTTTAAAAGTTCCTAAATGAGATTTACTAAGGAAATCCTGAGGCATCATAGAAACAGAGTTTATAATCAACTAAAATGTAGAAGTAAAATTTAAATTGAGATGGGTAACTCTTGATTCGACTTAGTTGTCCCAGCTTCTGGATCAAAAGCTTTGCTTGCACGTGGAAGAACTGTATTTCTAATAATCCTCGCTAGGACAAAACAAGTGATGGTATTTACTTTTACTTACAAGTAAGTATACTAAAAAGTTTTAATTATAAGGCCAAAGGTCTTAAGTCAGAAGTTGCTACAAAGAGGACAGGATGCAATCCCAAGTAATTGCCAACAACCAAAAACAGTTTGATGTTACCACATTTTTGTCCCTTTTTAATATATACCTAGGCCTTACTTCACTGAGGAGAGAAAGAAGGGGGGGGGGAGAGAGAGAGAGAGAGAAAGGACCTACCTAAATGGTTATTTGGGGGATTAAATGATAAAAAAGTACTGATCTCCATTGCTGGTGTGGCTCAGTGGATTGAGTGCTGGCCTGAAAACAAAAGGGCTGCAAGTTCGATTCCCAGTCAGGGCACATGCCTGGGTTGCAGGCCAGGTCCCCAGTAGGGGGCATCCGAGAGGCAACCACGCATTGATGTTTCTCTCCCTCTCTTCCTCCCTTCCCCTCTAAAAAATAAATAAATAAAATCTTTAAAATATATATATAGGTCACCTAACACAAATCCGGCACATAGTACCTTAGGGTGGCTACTATTACTGTTCTACAAACAAAAACTCTAGTCTTCAAAGATTCAAACTTCAAAATCTCTGCTTAAAAAGTAACTGCTTTGCCAATACCAAAGTTTAGCAGGAAGTGGCTTGGCTTTAATTAATCTGTTTAATTTATAACTGACACACAAGTCATTTTAATAAATACAATAATCTATAATTAACTACACATAGGTTAATGAACAACGAACTAAAGAAGTCTGGGGTTCCAATTTAATTTTCTTTAAATAAAGAAAATATCATTAATCATTTGGATTCACACTGTCTTAAATAGTTGGCTAATAAACAATCCATTAAAATTTCAAAAATTTTGGCTAACTATATTTTTCCCAAATATAAGGGTCTTTTCAATTTGCTCAAAACTCTTCTAGGCAATAAAAAGAGAAACTAACACTCAAGAAAGCTTGACTCTCAGGAAATGTTCTGGGCCCCAGGGCGCTGTTGATGTTTTATTCATCTCTGCATATAGGTGGCTACTTTAGCAAAGAATCTGAGATACAGTTAATTAAGTCGATTATATTCCTGAATAAATTAGTCAGCAAAACAAGGCAGATATTTGGCTACTTCAAGTGATGGTCTAAACATTACTGCTCCGATCTGAAACCCCAAATATCTCAGTCTTTAAAATTACTTTGGGTTTGCGAAGGAAAAGGAGGTTCATTTTGATATATAGTTCCTGAAACTCCAAAAGTTAAACGGAAATTAGTACTTAAAATAAAGTTCATGTATACTACGTCATAACTTAATAGAAGTTATTAGAAAACAAATTTGCTGTTCCAGTTTTTGTCTATCTCTGAATACAGTGGCTTGACAAAAAGAAATATTCCCAAGCCACCAATCATCCTAACATCAGATAGTGTTAACTTCACTAAAACGACTAAAAGAATTCATCAATATCTAGCCACATAAAACGAGGCGTGTAGTGTGCCTAAGAACCCAATCTAGTAATGCAGGACCATGGTTATTTCTTTGGGATCGAGTACTCTTGCCAATCCGAGGACCTGAGAAGGTAAAACACAAGGTAAGGCATCAATGGGGGAGGGGAGGAAAAGGAAAAGATCAGAGAGGATTAATTAATGTATTATTTGCCAAAGGAGAAGAGAAGGCTGCTTGGGCCAAAAGGCGAGGACCCTTTACAAGGGAGTGGAAAGAGCTAATTTTGCATTTAGAACCGACAAGGCGGTGGGAGGAAGGGCAACTATCAACAGGAATCCCCCGGGTGGTGGAGGGGGTCCGTCACTTACGTGGCCGCTCCTAGAGAGAGGAAACATGCCCCCATGACTACTTCAAAAAGCAATTGTGAAGAAGGGGGAGTGACCTTCCTCGCTGTGAGGAGGAAATACAGGGTCACTTCTCAAAGGGCTTAGGGAGCAGACACTCCGTGGGTCCTCCTCGGTGATCTGGGAACACAAGGGGTCGTGAAAACCTCAGGGCCGCATTGGGACTGGGAACCACCGAGGGCTGAGGTGTGGGCGTTACCTGCAGGGTCACCTCCTGAGGGTCCCAGTGCGGCCGCAGGTGTTGCAGGAGGCTCAGGGCCCCTTCCCGGCAGCGCTGCTCCTCCTGATCCTGAACCGTGACGTCCAGCTTGGGGACCTCTGGGGAGCCGGACGGGACGTGGATGTAATTGGCCATGGCCCAGGCTACGGCGGATACTATCACAACCACGACCGCGACGGCGACCACGAGAACGGCGGGCGCCGACAGGCTGGTGGATCCTTCCGTCCCGGGGCGCCCTCGCGGGAGGGCTGGGGGCGCTCGGACTGACGGGCAGGCGGTAGAAGAACGGTTGGAGGGGAACTCCCGCCGACCCGAGTCTGGACAGCAACTGAACTGAGCCGAGGTTGTTCTCGCAAAAATTCCTTTCGTCTGCGTTCGACCGCCGGCGGCCGCGCAGCATGCCGGGACTGGCCTGACGCTGGCGTCACGCGGGGTGGGGCCTCTGCCTGCGTCAGACCCCGAGCTCAATTTTCTAGCTGCCGGCACAATAGTCCAGCTGACGCGCGCTCCGTTGTTCTGCTGGTGTCAGAGCCGTTGCTGTTGCTTTTCGTTCTTCCAGCCAGAAAAATTCGGGCTTCTCCCGAATGAGCTTGCGCCCTGCCAAGACCCCCAAAAGGTCTTGCTTTAGCTCACCTGATCAGGAGGGGCTTGGAGTCTGGGTTTGAGGGAGAAATGAGTTTTTCTGGGGAAGCAAGTCCTGAGATAATCCCTGGACCAGCCTTGAATTTGGCCCGAGTCTCGGCAAACTAGATTAACTAGGTCACGTGGATCTCGAGCTGCTGTGTAGTGGGGACCCCGTAATTGGGAAATTCCCATGGAATGTGTACTAAGATCATGATATATAGCATGATATACAAAACGAACACAAGATATTTGGGTAGGAAAACGACAGCCCTTCAGTATTTGTTCTTAAGGTCAGATGTTAGACCATACTGAGAATTATTCAGAGCCAGAAAAAACAGCTTATAGTATGTAATAAAGATAAAAGGGAAGGAACGTATTCTCAAGGCTCAGTGCATGACTGGCTGGGTACCTGTTTCAGGGTATGCTTGAGTAGACCTGAAAATAACTTACTTAAAACTTCTAGTCTCCACATTTTGTTCCAGCTATTTCCCTTGTTAGGGAAGTAATGGAAACTGGAAAATTCACAAATAATTTATTGGGACCTCCTAAATTTCCTTATGATGAAAATGAACTGATATTTGAACTCTTAATCTGTGTCTTCCCTGTAGCATTAAGGACATGGTGAACAGCTTTGTTAGTGGTAAATTAAATCAGTAACCAGATTTAATTTAATTAACATTCAAAATGTTTAATTATCTCATTAGTATGAGTTTACATTGTGATTGTTCAGAAGAACTTACCTTTGTAAATCACAAAAAAAATAGCTCACTATCCATAATGGTATACGGCATAAACTAAAAAGAGAGAAGAGAAAATACAGTTTTATAATACAGCAAATAAGTAGATTCATCATTTTCCAGACTTAGGCATCTATATTTTTTTAAATCATGCACTACAAGAAATACTGGGTTATGTGTTGCTTCCAATTTGGGGACAAATAATCAACATACTAATACTTCCATATTTCAGATAGCATGTCTTGTATTTTTGTATAGTTTGTAAACTTGACATTTTGAGAATTTAAATTTTTTTAAGTTGTAAAATGGCTTAATAGCAACTTATTTAAAAAACATTTAAGAACTGTACAAGTTTGTAATTTTAAGAAACATCCATTAACAATTACAAATAAAACAATTATGAGGTACCTAAGAGAAAAATAAAAGATCCGTAAGATCTCTGTAGATGAAAGTCTATTAATGGAAAAATAAACCACATTCATAAATAAGACTAGATACTTATAATAAAGATCTCAGTTTTCAGTGAACTAATCAATAAGTGTATGCAATTACAATTAAAATTTCAACAGGGTTTTTCACAGAACTTGTTAAAATGATATTAAAATTCATATCAAATCTTAAGGCCCAAGAAAATCTGCTATAATTTCTTGTGGGTGAGGGAGCCTTGGGGAATAGCCTGGGAGAACCCATCCTACCAGGATTCATTACATAACAATAGGAATGGCCAAGTAGTCCAGTAGAACAGAATCAAAACTGCAGAGAAAGACCATCATGTGTACAAGAACTCTGAATATGACAAAAGTGATATTAAAAATATAGATGATAAAGGGATGCTGTAATAAATTATAAATTCCTAACTGGGCAGATCAGGATAGATAGTCACGCTCAGGTCTGTAACTTCTTTAGTGAAAGGCTTTTAAGCCAGTCCTGTCCATTGTTTCTGTGCATCTAGGTTAACAAATCTTTGAAATACCAGAAGTAATAGTCCTTGAAAGTGTAACCACCCCAAATAACGAATAATGTTATAACTATACTGTAACCCAGTCTCCACTTTCTTTTACTCACCTTCATATAATCTTTACATTCCCTGCTTAAATTCAAAAACCACAAAAGAAACTGAAAACTGTCATTATTGGGGGCATTTGAGATCTGGCTTCCTGGCAATTGTTGTTAGCTTTTGGCTCAAATAGACTAAAAAAATTTCTACAAGGTTGTATGTTTCTTACGTTGACAAAAATCAGGAAAGGATAGCTAGTCAATAAACGGTGCTAGAACAACAGCTCTTCATACGGGAGAACATTTCGATCCTCCATCATTCTATGTGAAAATTAATTCTAGAAAATTAAAAACCTAAATGTTATACGCAAAACATTAAAAATATTTAAGGTGTCAGTTTTTTATTTCATTTTTCAATTACAATTTTCATTCAATATTATTTTGGATTATTTTCAGGTGTACAATGTAGTCATTAGAAATGTCAGTTTTTATTAACTTGATCTATAAATTCAATGCAAATCCCAACAAGTTATTTTTTAGATATCAACAAACTGATTCTAAAGTTTATATGGACAGGCAAAAGACCCAGATTAACCAATATGATACTGAAGAACAACAAAGCCAGAAGAGAGACACTACCCACCTTGAAAACTTACTATAAAACTACACTATTCAAGACAGTTCAATATTGGCAAAGAGTAGAAACATAATCAATAGAACATAATAGAGTCCAGAAATAGATTTGCACAAATATAGTTAACTGATCTTTGAAAAATGAGCAAAGGCAATTCTATAGAGAAAGGATAATCTTTTCAATAAATGGTGCTAAAACAAGTGGACATGCACATACAAAAAAAAGAGAATCTAGACACCTTAATTTAAAAAATAATTTTGAAAAAGTTAACTTCACAAAATTAACTCAGAATGAATCACAGACCTAAATTTAAAACAAACCTGTAAAATTCTTGAGAAAACAGGAGAGAATCTAGGTGACCTTGGGTTTGGCAATGAGTTTTTAGATACGCCACCAAAAGCGCAATTTATGAAAGAAAATTGGTGAGTTGAACTTCATTAAAATTAAACATTTCTGTTCTGTTAAGAGAATGAAAAGCCAAGCCATAGACTGGGAGAAAATACTTGCAAAACATCTATCTGATAAAATTAAAAAATTGTATCCAGAATGTACAAAGAACCCTTAAAAGTTCACAATGGGAAAACCACCCAATTTAAAAATGTGCCAAGGAACAGAACCTTACTAAGAAGATATACGGATAGCAAATAAGTATGTGAAAACATGTTCAATGTCATATATCATTAGGGAACTACTACTTAAAACGAAATACCACTACACACCTATTAGAATGACTAAAATCCAAAATACAACACCAAATGCTGACGAAGATGTAAAGAAATAGGAACTCTCATTCATCACTGGTGAGATGAAAAATAGTATAGCCACTTTGGAAGAAAGTCTGGCATATTCTTACAAAGTTAAACACAGTCTTACCATAAAATTCAGTAATCATCCTCCTTGATTGACAAATAAATTGAAAATTTACATCTATACAAACACCAACACACAAATGTTTATAGCATCTTTATTCATAATTGCTAAATCTCAGAAGCAACCAAGATAGCCTTCAGTAGGGAGTAGATTTAAACAAAAAAAAATCTGGTATATCAGTATAATGTAATATTTATCAGCAATAGAAAGAAAATAGGGGTAATCCATGAAAAACATGGAGGAAACAAATGCATATTGTAAAGTGAAAGCAGTTAGTCTGAAAAGGCTACACACTGTCTGATTCCAATCATATAACATTCTGCAAAAGACAACAGAGACAGGTCAGTGATTCAAGCAGAGGGAAGGGAGGGCCACAGGGAATTTTTAAAAATTCCTTTTTATTTTTCAATTACAGTTGACATTCAATACTGTTTTAGTTTCAGGTATACACTATAGTGGTTAGACATTTATATAACTTACAAAGTGATCCCTCAATAAGCCTTGCACCCATCTGATACCATATATAATTATTACAATGTTATTGACTATATTCCCTAAGCTGTCCTTTATGCCCCCAAAGTTACTTTGTAACTGTCCATTTGTACTACTTAATTCCTTCACTTTTTTTTTTTACTTGGCCCCCAGCTCCCTAACCCCCATCCCATCTGGCAACCATCAGTTTGTTCTCTGCATTTATGATTTTTTTCTCATAAACATTGTAACAAAACAATGTTGAGTGAATTGATATTGTTTGAGAACCTACTGTACTCTGATTATGCTGAACTCTCTTGCCTGACCACTTTCTAGGCCACAGGCCAGATCTTTAATTATCTTTAGCTTTGAAACAAATCCTTAACTACATGACATCATTAAAACTGCTCAGGGCCTTGAACATGTCTAGAAGATATAAGATAGTTATGAAGATATAACATCAATATGAAGTGTCCAATACATGTTAGCCCTCTTCCTGTATTTAACATGATATTGGGGCCCTTCAATACCTGGATTGACCTGTCTCCTATCTATACTTCTTGAAATCCCACTCATTCTGTTCAATTGGTATTTATATCTGCCTTTATGCCAGTCCCTTACTGTTTTGATCACTGTAGCTTTGTAATGTGTTTGAAGCCAGAAAAAGCTTTATTATTCTTTCTCGAGATTTGAATTTGAGATAATTTTTTCTATTTCTGCAAAAAATTGCCATTGTTTTTGTTTTCTGTTTATTTACTAAATAACTTGACTTTTTCAAATCTGCAAGGAAAGACTATTTATATCTCCCTAAATGACACAAACAAAATATAAATAAAGCTTATGTTGTTTTGTGTAATGTTTTTTTTACTTCAATGAATATGTGGCAAAGGTTTTTAAAATTATTTTTATTAAAGTATACATGATGAATAAAGTTATATTTAAAGTGTATATGATGATTTGCTATAGCCATTGATATCCTGATAGGTACTACATTAAATACATAGGTTGTTTTTGGTAGTATGGATATTTTAGTAATATTCATTCTTCCAGTTCATGAATGCAGATGTCTTTTATTTATATCTAGTTTCTTTCAGCAATTGCCACAATTTATTGGATCATTTCATTTTTAGGTTGTCCTAATTGTCACTATTGTAGTAAACATTTTTAATAACATCTTTGTGTATCTTTCATTTCCAATTACTTCCTTGTGATAGTTTCCAAAAACAGAATTTCTTTGTCAAAGGCTATAACTATATAACATATAATTCATAATTCCATATTGTTTTCCCCAAAATCTGATTCAAACAATAATTCCATAAGCTAATGTGTGTGCTCAGCAGTACTAAACTTTCACCACAATGAGTGAGAAGAACCCTTTGATGTTTAAGCCATGGAGATTTGGAGGACTGCATTTTAGCTCTGATAAAATTGAATCTATCCTGAATGGTAGTTATGACTTAAATTGTTTCAGACTATAGCACCAAAATCATTAAAGTTTGGGCAGATTTTCTGTGGCTTTTAAAACTTCATGGCATAAGATAAAATTTAAATGTAAATTCAAAAGCTTTGCATTGGGGAGGTAGCAGAAATTTTATAATGATTTAAAATGTCTTTTGGAAACTCTGAAATGGGAACTCAATTAAGACACAATTTGTGAAGCAGATAAAATGAAATTGGTAATGTCAAATAATATGACTGAGTGTTAAATTTTGCAAAGGAACTGATGAGAGTAATGTACATGGGAAATGTTCCTTTGAATTCTATTTGAAATTTTAGAGCATAAGTAAAGATGATTCTGACCATTATGGGATAGGTGCTATAACTTAGTTGTTAATTATAGGTTCTTAACCAAAATTCTCAAGTCCCAAAGTCTCTAAAAACCCAAAGTTCTTTTTGATATTTACCACAAACTAACTGGGTAACAGATTCAGACCTGAACTGAAATCAAACTACTTACACTCCTCATTTGTCCCACTTGGTGTGGTTTAGGTTTAATTAGACATATTCATTTCTTTGATTATGGAGAGGTTTCCAGCTTCTGATGAAAATGTAACAGAAAATTTGGTATATGTTCTTATTTGCCTTT